ATATATAATATATATATATATATATATATATATATATTATACATATAAAATATATATATGTATATTATATTACAGATTTGTCAAGTGTGTGCATGCCTATGATACTCGGTAAATAAGATATTAATAATTTCCAAACTGAATGAAAATCGAGTAATGTATTAGGAGCCATCTATCAAGCTAATTTATGTTTCTTCAACAATTCTGTTAAAATTATCATTTTTAATAACGACAGATCTGTCATAATTCTTTATACTTCTACAACTTACTAGTTTCGGCAACTTTATGTTATAAAAAATGTCTGTGACAGTATAAATTTAAACAGTAGTCAACAGTAGCAAACGCTAATTGTACATGTTCATTCTTCACCATACTACCACGCGTTAATGAAAACATTTTTGAGACAAAGGATAAAGCAACATAACAAAAAGATCTTTATGTTACAAGAGACACCTCTGATGCGATAAATTCCAAACATAATTAGCACGTTGATTGACACAAAGAAATTTTGAACATAGCCAGATTACATTGATTATAAATGTTCATATTACAGTGAAATCTCGATACCTCGAACGTTTATAACTCGAAAACCTCTATAATACGAAAATTTTGTTCATTTTCTTCTGCTCCGCGGAAAGGAAAAAGGTACTTCAATAAATCAAAACTTCTACAACTCAAAGACTTTTCTCTTCACTAGAGATTCGAGTTATCGAGATTCGACTGTATTTAATACACTACCACACGGTAACAAAACTATCTCTTGGAGAAAAGTAAAGCTTTATGCTACACGAGACGTCTCAGGAACAAAAACTTTACAACATAGCTAGAACATTTTTTTCGCAATATTTTAAAATTAGGTAGAGGGGTATACGGGGTCCTTCATATATATGTGATGTAAATCCAGCATCCTGTATGGAGGAAAAAAATTATTTCAAGGTATATATGTGTATATATATATATATATATTTAAGCACATTTTCTGCACAACATCCTGCAAACGGCTTCTACAACCGAATTTATTTTACTCAATAGCTAGAACATGTTACTTGTAAATGCTTCAAATATTGTTTCTATCAGAACACGTTTAGAAAACCGTTTCTGAGCAAACAAAAACATAAAGCAACTTTATGTCACAAAAGACATCTCTGGCACAATTTAAAACATAGCCAGCAAATGTTGCATATCAAACTTTCATTTTTATTAGTACACACGTTTTCAAAAGCACTTCTGAGAGACAAGACAAAGCAATTTTACATCACAAGAGACGGTTTTGATAGTAAAAATTTAAATTATAGATAACATACTTTAACTACAAATATTTCATAATAATTATTATTTCAGCACACGTTTGCATAAACGCCTCTGGGAAGAAAGATAAAGCAACTTTACAGTAAAAAAAAATGCATCTAACATTGTTGTATTTTAATATTATTTAGAAAATAGCCAGCATAGGGTAAGAGCACCAGTTACTGTGTAGGTTCCGATTACTATGCCCTTTTTTTTATTTTTACAAATAACAAGATAAAGCACTATTAACATGAACATATTTATTTTTTTAATAAAATTAAAAACTTGCTTTATGTTCCTGAATTAAAAATATTTTATATTTACACTCTAAAATATTGAAAAAAAATTTTATTTTATGTATAGAAATGCTATCATTTAAGTAATTTCATAAATGTTTTTATTTTAAATTACATGAATTTTCAATAATCGAAACAAATTTTTAAGCTTGTTTGTATTACTGTGTCCAGTATTTGAACAGTATTTTCGTTGATGCGTCATTTAATGTGCCTTCTATTGATAACTGCCTACTTAACCTAAACCTAAACCTAAACTGGTTAACATAGTTGACATTAATTGCAATACAGCATGTAAACAAAACTTTAATTTCTTTTTTAGTAAATACAATACTATTGATAAGTGTTAAATATCTAAATCAAATATAAATTTTTTTTCACATATAAATCAAATTTTTATAAAAATAATTGTAATCAATATAAGCAAGTTGCAATTAGAAAGTAAAACTAAGCATCTATCTTGAGAAATAAAGCGGAGATGATAAATTAGGGCACAGTATTTTGTCCAACCTCACAGTATTTAAATGACAGTATTTAATACATTTTACTAGTATCCGGGGCACCGTATCCGAAAACTAAGCACAGTAATTCGCACACAGTAATTACGTCTTCAGCACACAGTAATTGGCTCATTGGATTTTTTTTTCATATATTCTATGATATTTAATATTTTATAAACATTATATGTACAAAAAAAATTGTATCAGTAGGAAACATAATAAACTATAACATACATGTTTTAAAAAGTGGGAAAAATAAAGGATATTAGTTTAATTTAATGGAAAACGCGAAGATTAACCTTAATGGGCACAGTAATTGGTACTTTTACCCTATGGGTTAGCAGTTTCTAATAATTTTACACCAGCACACGTTTACAAACGCCTCTGGAAGAAAAAACAAAGCAACTTTAGTATCAAAAAGATGCATCTGACATTATTTTATATTAAAATGATTTCGTAAAAAGCCATCATGCATTGGCAGTTTATAATAAATTTCACACCACACGTTTTCAAAAACGTCTTTTGGGAGGAAAGACAAAGAAACATTACAGTCAAAAAATGCATCTGACATTGTTGTATATTAATATTATTTAAAAAATAGCCAGCATGCGTTGGCAGTTCATAATAGTTTTTACACCAGCACACGTTTTCAAAAACGCCTCTGGGAAGAAAGACAAAACAACTTTACAAACAAACAGATGCATCTGATATTGTTTTATATTATTATTACTTAGGAAATAGCCAGCATTGACAGTGTTTTCTATACTCACGTTAGTACAGATGATAGTCTAAATGAAGAATCACATAACACAAAATAATCACAATGTATCACAATTGAATACAACACAATATATTATTTGAATATAACATAATATAAATGTAATATATTGCAATGGAATATTACATAATTTATTACATTACAATATAATATTACACAACAAATGCAAAATATTCATTTTGTGAATGCTTTACTAAAACTTATAAAAGTTTTACTTGTTTTGTGTTGTACTGAAAACTTTGGCAAAAAAACACGTGCTCCGCAAAACGAGTTATTTTAAAGTCGTTCTGTGATATTGCAAAATTCAATTACAGTTACAGATCTCGCAGAAGTGACCAATCGTGTTGCGATTGAGTGATTTGATAGATGCAACTGGCCAATTTTGTGAAACTAGCGTTTGCTTTCTGCGACTACTACAAAACGATCTTTATGTTTTCAGATACTTCGTAGGTTAGAAGATCTGTCATGTAGCACGACCATAGACTTATATAATAGACGGAACATTTGTGTAAGAGGAGCTGAAGTCTTCGTTAAAAGAGACAGAAATAGTCGTGGAGTAGTTCTCTTCTTTTCTAGCAGTGAGTTGATTGGTGGCCGCGGCAGGCCGAGAGCAACGAAGATAGAGTTCGAGAGTCAGTTGAGAGAAAGTGATAGTGAAAGGTGATAGCATAGACTTGTGAGATGATTGGTTCCCCACTATCTTATTGTAAGAGAGAGAGACAACTACTTCAGCACTATCTCTGTCCTTTAATTTTGTTCTCAACTTCGTCATATAAATGTTCCGTCTATTATATAAGTCTATGAGCACGACAGATACACATGCATAATGATCATATGCGCCCACATCATATTGCAGCGCTCTCTGTCGCGATATCCGTGAACTACATACACAATCATTTTTATATTCTTAGCACTGAAATGCTAGCAAACGTGTACACGAAACGTACTTTAGACTATTTTTCTATTGTAGGCTTCCAAATCGTAGTCTAATAGTAATAGTAGTAGAAGAATGTAATATTCTTATTACATTCTTTAATGTTTTGTCTATGCAAGACACTTGTTGGTTTTTATGCATAACTCTTGAACTTGAAATACCAGTACACTAAAAGAGGTGATTGTAACATCAAAACTTTTTGTTAAAGTTTTGATATATTGAAAAGTATCTTGCATTCATTTTATTATTTTCTTTAATTCTGTAGAGCCGTTTTTTTATTCGAGCAATAATTACGAAAAGCAGTCTAAAGTACGAATTGCTCGTTTGATCGGTAATAACAAGAAGGTCCAGGACCGTCTTAATAATCAATTCATTGTTTATAGATTATAATGCAGCGGCTGCAGAAAGAACGAGATAATTTTCAAGAGGAAATGGAAAAGATGCATGAGAGGATAGAACTGCAGCAGAATCAAATAGGTAAAATGCAACGCGAAAAAGAAAACGTGTTATCGGAACTCGAATTGGTGAAAGAGAGATGGGAGAAAGCGCACAACACTCATCAGAAATTAACAGTGAGAAGAAAGCATTTTTTATTCAAAATTGAATTTATTTAATTTTTATAATAATATTTGTTGTATTATTTAAAAATTTATTTTTTTCTTTTGTTCTAAACCAGCTCGAACGAGACGATGCTCAGACTGAAATTCAGATTCTCAAGGAGAAACTGGAAAAGACTCAGTATTCTTTGAACAAAGCTCATGAAGACCGGGAGAACACTACGAAAGAATTTGAAAAGATGCTGGAAAAATATGACAGGTATGTACGATCGATATACAAGCTGCATTTGACACTGCAAATTGGAAACGGCAACAATATAAAATCAAATGCAAATATAGTTAATCGATTAATTGCATTGTGAATATGCTGAATGAATACGTAAATTTTCAAAAAACACTAACGTTTTTGATTTGCAACATCATGCAGTAAGAGTCAACGACAAAAATATCTTAGCACATAAAGTTGAACTAATAATATTTTGAGTCGATATTTTTAGTCAATATCACTAGTAGTATGTGTTTGATATGGCGCTTCCCACTTCCGCAACCTTTGATTGGGAAGCGCCATATCGAACTCTTGTGGAAGAGGTAAGGCATAAGTCCTCAAGTAGTGGAGACGGTACAAATAAGTAAAAAAATAATATAAAAATTATGAAAAAATTTTAATTATTTTATAAATATTTATCTTATAAATATTATTTTATAAATATATTTTATAAATAATTGTTTACTCGCTATAGCCTATGCAGATTACGCGCGTTAGTAAGTATCCTGCATTGACCATAGCAAAAAATCTTGAAAAAAACTCGGAAAAAATTTTTACAAAATGATGATTATCATCTGTCGGCAGGATAAATTCCCACATGACGTGCATTTAGTTGTTGTAGAGCTTAGCAAGATTTGCAGCGTATTCATCGCGAGTATGCGGCGGCGATAATGTGTAATTTTCTGGTATTAAGTATTGCACAAAGGCGGTATCTCTGCAGCGTTTGCTGTTTGCGTTGCTTTTTCTATTGTGAACGCCTGCGTTTCAATGTCTTCGTCCAAATTATCAGACACTGTTAAACAGTCTGCAAAGCTATCACAATCATTTTCATCATGTTGTTTTTCTTCGTCGCCCGAGCAAATAACTTCACTCTTTGGAAAACGCTGCACAGATACATCTCCGCGTTGTTGCTTAAACGAATTCTGTTTGTTAAACCACTGCTTCAATTTATATGCATGTGCATTAGTGCACATTGAAGTTGTTAAATCTTTCTCGAAGACCGTGATAAGTACAACGTTCTTTGCCCGGCAAGCATTTGGACGATGGTGAAATAGTCTCCAGATTATATACAGGATGTCCCAGGATTGGTGTAACATCTCTTGTTGACAGGTAAAAGAAGTAAAACTAAGTCGATAAGTTTTATACCATTTTGCTAGATTCGCAATAGTTACCGAGATCTTAATTATTAAAGATCAGCGAGTAAGCATGCATCGGGCTGTCTTACTCGCTTAAGCCCAGTGCGCTTCGCGCGCTTACGGTGTTACCCGGAGCGACATATGAGAGGAGTTAATATAACAGCATATACTATAACATATACATATTAAAATGTAATTGTGCAAAGCGCGCAGGGCTGTCCTACGCGCATAAGACAGCCCGATGCACGCTTATTTGCTAATCTTTATTAATTAAAATTTCGGTAACTATTACGAATCTAGCAAAATGGTATAGGACTTATCGACTCAGTTTTACTTCTTCTACCTGTTTACGAGAGATGTTACACCAATTCTGGGACACCCTGTATACAGGGTGTCCCATAATTGCCGTCTCACCGCTTGTAGGCAAGAAGAAGGGATTATTCTAAGACAAAAAGTTCTATATCACTTTGGAAGATTCGCGATAATTGACGAGATATGAATTAATCAAGATCCGCTAATCAGCGTGCATCCAGCGTAAGCGGAGCATAAGGACAGCCTAGTCTTTCTCGCGGATAGTGCGCTCTCCGAACGCAGCTTATATGCTGTTTATGTATAGGTGCACATGCTCTTCTATTAGCTCCTCCCATTCCACCGCAACGGCGCGTTTATATATATATACAGGGTGTCCCAGAATTGGTTTAACATCTCTCGTAGACAGGTAGAAGGAATAAAACTGAGGTGAAAAGTCTTATATCATTTTGCTAGATTCGCAATAGTTACCGAGATTTTAATTAACAAAGATCCGCGAATAAGCGTGCATCGGGCTGTCCTACGCGCGTAGGACAGTCCGGCGCGCTTCACAAAATTACATTTTAATATGTATATGTTATAGTATATGCTGTTATATTAGCTCTTCCCATATGTCGCTATGGGTAACACCGTTAGCGCGCGAAGCGCGGCGGGCAGTCTTACGCNCGTAAGACAGCCCGANGCATGNTTATTCGCGNATCTTTGTTAATTAAAATCTCAGTAACTATTGCAAATCTAGCAAAATGGTATAGGACTTTTCACCTCAGTTTTATTCCTTCTACCTGCCTACGATAGATGTTAAACCAATTCTGGGACACCCTGTATATATAAAACTATATATATAGTTATATATATAACTATATATAGTTATATATAACTATATATTAGAACCGTGTGAGCTCACGGACGCGTTCTCGCTTGTGGGCATATCCCCACCGCCTCGACAGAACTTACCTAGTAGAGGAGATTGGGTGGAGCGGGCGGACGATTCCCCTTGCCCTTCGCGTCTGTTAGCTTGTGGGTAGAGCGAATTCTTGTAAGATTTTAATAGTAGTGTCGACACTGCTGGTTCGAGTCCCGATATACTTTTTTTTTCACAATTTTACAATATAATCTAAATGTAAGTAATACGTTTTTTATTTATTTATTGCATATTAGAAAAGTGTATTGTTTTGCATAAAAAATTCGTTACTTAAAAATATAGTAAAAATAAATAGATTATTATTAATTAATAATTGTGTTTACAATATACATGGTTTGCTTCTAAATTAACAAACAAAATAGAAATATTTATGAATGTCAACGAAATATGTTTTTCTATAGATATTTTAAAGAAACTATGTGAATGTAAAACTGCAGCGTTCATACAATGTGCACACTCTCGTAAAACTTTACTTTTACTTGTTTTTATGACAAATATCATTCTGCATTAAGTATTATCTCATCTAGTTTCAATAAATAAAACATGTTGCATATATTTTTACATGTTGCGTACAATTATTTAGCTTTTTAAAAAATCACAATTAGTAATTAGTAATAATCTATTTATTTTTACCGTATTTTTTAAATCACAAATGTTTTATGCAAAACAATGAACTTTTATAACATGCAATAAATAAATTAAAAACGTATTACTTACATTTAGATTATACTGTAGACTTTTGGAAAAAAAATATATTGACACTCGAATCAGCAGCGTCGACACTACTAACCTAGTACGCTACCGCTACTCTACGCGCTCTTCGGTCTATTTAATATCCTTGTAAAGTAACTCAAAATTTTCAAATTCGATTTTTTCGCGAATGCTTGAGTAGTGCGTCTTATTACTTTACCCTGCAATACTCTACATAGTCATCTATCGATCCTATAAAGTTTGTCCAAATCGATTGGTACAATACAATGTCACAACCTCTCCTTGTGAGACTAAAAAAAAGTCAAACGGTTCAGTCGTTATTGTGATATGAATATTTAATTTTTTACAATGCTTTTCGAAATCTGATTTCCACGTATAATAGGCACAGTGCGCTTCGCGCAGTTCGTACACCACTTTGTTGCGCGTGAACTTGGTGCGCGGCACTACCGTGCCTCTTGATTTCTGAAGAGAAGAGTTTGCAAGTAGAGCGGACTTTTTCACTGCCCCTACAGTGTGCTCAGTTTTGACTCTCTTACAGAACGCGACAGCAAATGGAGGAGAAACGCACACAGGCAGCCGTGTACGTGTGCGCTCGACGCTTCGGCCGTCTTCAGGCGGTAGAAGAGAACAGAGATATGTCTACTGACTCTTTCTTTCAACATAGCTATAGCGCACGCAACTAGCGCAAGCGGCTAAGCCTCGCGCTAGCAGCTGTTTATCATTTTTCGTCGTTTGTCCTCGTTCTTGCACTTATTACTTACAGAAACATTTCGATTAAATAAAAAAATATCAACACCATAAAAGAATACTTAGAAAAATGAAACATATGAAGAGCATAAATAAAGTGAAGAATATAAATCTCTATCACTCTTGGCTAATATGTACGTCTTTTTGTTTTAAACAAAAAAAGAAAAGTATACGTAATTATATATTTAGCAAACTTATTGTTAATATAAAATACATAGAAATAAAAATATATTTTAATGTTAAACAATTATGACTTAAGACTCATGAAATTACCAACAAGATATATATAAGGCCTTACAAGCTATTCTCAAGATGTTTTGAGTAGAAACTTGTACGTGTATATATATACATACACATGTAACAAATTCAATTTGTAAATTTTTACAAGTGAGTGTTTTTTGAGTTGAAAACTCAATTCTTAAAATCACACATACGGGATGCCGAATTTGCATCTCACATATGACAGACCCGGATACCCCCCTAACTAATTTTAAAATTTTGCGAAAAAAACTCCTCGGCCAGGAGTCGAACCTGGAATTTCCGGCTTTCCGTGCCATATGTGAGATGCAAATCCGGCATCCCGTATGTGTGATTTTAAGAATTGAGTTTTCAACTCAAAAAACACTCACTTGTAAAAATTTACAAGTTAAATTTGTTACATGTGTATGGTTATTGTAATGTTGTTTGTTACGTAAAAAGTATTCTGTTAATATAACTTTTTACTTTGCACTTGCAATTATATATAATATAATTAAAAGAAAAAAAGTATTCTTGCAATAAGAATTTTATTGTATTTAAGTTTTAGAAATAAACTACGTACACATTGTTACTCAATTGAAACCGCGAGAAGATGGTGGTTTCTTCCGTCAAAAACAATGTAAAACATTTGTTTTGTTTAAGATAGATAAATAGATAGATAACGAGGAGCGGGGAGCTTGTGAGACTCTATTGTCACCTAGATCTATAAGATCCTCTGCGACTTTCGCTTGTTGTTTATCGACCAAGCTGCTAAAACCCGGCATTTGCTGCCAGGCTACACAGATGGCCGATTTTAATTATTTTCAGGTCCTCGGGCTCCACAAACATGGAGCCCAAAAATCTGAATCTCTTGAGTGCTAGAGACGGGCAGCGACACGATATGTGCGCGCTGTCCTCCCTCTTTTTGCTACAAAATCTACAACTACTCTCCTCAACTAGGTCTAAGTTGAATAGATGTGCCTTGAAGGCCCAATGCCCTGTAAGAAGACCGATACACAGTCTTTGTCTGTACTTACTCATTGTCAGTAGTTCCTTTGTCCTACCTGGCAATTGCTGAGTCATCAGGGCCTTAGCTTGGCGTCAGCTCTTCAGTATCTCCCAAGAAATCCTGTGCTCCCTTTTCAGCCAGTCCTTGATATGGTTTTTCCCTATTGCAAAGGGAACTCCAACTATCTGGCAGACTCGTTCCTTTAAGGTACCCAGTTTTGCCAGACTATCAGCCACTTTATTGCCTTGGATTCCTTGGTGGCCAGGTACCCAGACAAGCGTGATGTTGTTTCGCTCGCCCAATTTGTTCAGAGCTTGCATACAGTCCCAAACCACTGAAGATTTAGTGATGGTCTTGGCAAGAGCTCCTATGGCTGCTTTGCTATCCGTATAGATATTGATCCTCCTAGTTTTCGTCTCTCTTGAGAGTAGGAGTCTTGCACATTCCAGAATGGCTAGGACTTTCTTGAAAGACCGTGGCCAATTTACCCAGAGAGAAAAACTCACTGTGATTTGATCCTGGACAGTAGATGCCTGCTCCATAGCAGCCGTTTGCTCCAGATCCATCAGTAAACTATGCATGAGTGCCCGGCTGGATCTGAAGATTTTTGTTTTTCCAGTCCGCTCTGGTGGTCAAGTTTATAGAGAACGCCTTGTCCACTTGGCGTATTTTGGATATTCTGTCTTGCTTTAAGGTAAAGGGAGGTTTGTGAAGAAACTCGAGCCTGGTATGACCTACTCCGAAATTTCTCCACTCCCTTTGACATTTTAGTCTATATGCTGTGAGTTTGGCAGCACTGATGACAGTCAATATTAGAGGTGGAATGCAGAGTGCCACTTCAGCGCTTCTGTTGGTGTCGTTCTCATAGTCCCTACCGCAGCCCTCAAGTAATTATTTTGTAAGCTTTTTAGTAGGTTCTTTGAGGTCCATCTTTTCCACTCTGGGCCACCAAACAACAGCAGCATATGTTAACCTTGATACAAGTACCGCTTTGTATATCCATAGGGCACTATTTAGTTTAATACCCCAGGATTTTCCCATTGCTTTTCTACACGCCCAGTGAGGCGTAGAATTTGGATCTCTTTATATTGAGATGTGTTTTCCAATTCAGTTTGGTGTCTAAGTGGACTCCCAAATATTTTACTGACTGGACGTATTCTATATCTTCTCGCCAGAGTTTAAGCGGCTCAATGGCTTCAGGTTTGTATTTCCTGGAAATCATGGCCTTGGTCTTTAATGGATTAGCCCTAAGTCCTTTTGATTGACACCAGTCTTGCGTGATCTTAAGGGCTTTCTGCATAGTCTCCTTAAGTGTTGAAAGAAAACTACCTCGCACTATAATGGCCACGTCATCAGCGTAGTCAAAGACAAGGAAGCCTTTCTTCTGTAATTCTCGTAGAAGTTTATCCGCGACCAGACACCAGAGCAGGGGAGATAAAACTCCTCCCTGCGGGTATCCTTTAGCGGGGAAACTATGCATACTTGAGTCCCCATGATTGGCAATCAGGATTCTTCCTGTTAGCATGCTTTGTGTCCAGTCTGCTAGAACAGCGGGAATGTAATGCCCGGTCATTGCTTCCTTGATAACATTATATGAGGTGCTATCGAAAGCTTCCTCAATGTCTAGAAAGACGCCCAGGGCATATCCCTTTGCTTCCAACTGCACTTCGACTCCGCCTACGAAATGGTGCAAGGCAGTATCTGTTGATCTGCCCTCCCTGTAGGCATACTGAGCCGGAGACAGCGGATATACTAGCAGAGGGCCGATTTTCAGATATCTATTGACCAGTCTCTCCAGTGTTTTCAGTACAAAGGAAGTGAGACTGATCGGTCTAAAGTCTTTGGCTGTTATATGGCCACTTCTATCAAGCTTGGGTATAAAGACTACTCTTGTACCACCCCAAGCCTGGGGGACGTGTCTTAGGGCTATGCTAGCCTAAAGATTTTTGTGAGTGGACCTATGAGAACCCCCAGCCCCTCTTGAAGAAGAACCGGGTAGATTCCATCCGGTCCAGGTGATTTATAGGAAGAGAAGGTCTTAACAGCCCATTCAACTCCCTTTGAAAAAACAACCTCAGCTGCCAGACGCCAGTCCCTGTGTTTATATTCCCTAGGCTTTGGTCGGCAGGGTTGTATGTTATGATCAAAACCTGGAAAGTGGACTTCCATTAGATGTTTCAATGTGTCCGTTGNCTCCTCAGTGACATTCCCCGTTGGGAGCTTGAGTCAGCCTAATTGGGGACGGTGATCCAAACTGAGGATTCTGTGAAGCCTGGATGCCTCCGGGGCGCTCTCAATGCTTTCACAGAAACGTCTCCAGCAGAAACGTACTTTGATTTCTTAATCTCCTTGCTGTACTCTCGTTGGGAGCTTCTAAAGGCCTCCCAGTATACTGCAAGTCCTGTTCTTTTTGCCTTGCTGAATTTCTTTCTTGTTTCCAATCTGAGCTTACCGAGCTCTTTATTCCGCCAATGGATCTTGTTCACCGGATTCCTAGGTTTTGGTGAGCAGTTTAATTCAAAGGCGTTTGTAATGGCGTTCTTTAGAAAGTCCGCCACGTTTTCCAAGTTGTTTTTGGTTCAAAAAATGGTTGGGGCCATAGTGAGCTGGGCCTTAAGGTCAACCCTAAAGCCTTCCCAGTTTGTTTTTCGTGGGTTGCGAACCCAGCTGATTTGCGGTATTTGTTGGAGAGTTAGGCGTATTTGTCTGTGATCAGAGCCAGAGAGCTCATCCGCGCGAGACTTTCCAGTCGTTCACCAGACCCGCCACCCTCTCCGTACAAACCGTTATATTGATGACCTCCTGTCTTCTGGAGTCCAGGAATGTCGGCTCGTTTCCTCTGTTAAGAATGGTTAATCCTGTGCCCATTAGGTAGTCGTGGAAACTCTCCCCCCGCAGGTTGGTGTCTGTGCTTCCCCATCCTACATGTTGGGAGTTCGCATCGCAACCCAACAGGAGTTCGAGCCCCCTGGTTTCCGCATAGGCCACCAGGTTTTTTACCTCTTCATGTAGTGGTGGATCCGTGGAGTCATAGGGCATATAAACTGACCCTATTAATACTTCCATGTTCTCTTCCTCGGCTAGCTTTACTCTCACCTTGATGACTGTGAGGTCCTCGCTGCTGAGCTGTGGCAGAAAGATAGCATTTAGTCCTTTTACTAAAATGCATGATCTTACTCTATTTTCTGAGTGTGCTTTGTATAAGCAGCCGCACCCACTCAGTCCTTTTACTGCACCTTTCACAATCTATGGTTCTTGGATTAGTGCAATACTTGTATGCATCACAGCCATGCTCCTGGCTAAGATAGCTGAGGCGCTCTTGCTGTGATGCAAGTTAATCTGGATCATTTGGATGCCAAGAGAAGCCATTTTTAGGCAGTCCCGACACTTTCCGACTCCATCTTTTTTTCCGTCGCTTCCCCGCGCTCTTGTCCCGCCATCCTAACGGTGGCCCGGCCGAGACCGAAGAAAGGCCTAAAGCCACAGTGGTTCAAGGCTTCCATCGCCGAGTCGCCAACCAAACAGGAGAAGTTGGCGCTCGTAGCATCCCTTCTATACGTCCCCTTGGTGACGACCCAATCGCTGGTTGCCAGCCTTGTGTTTTACTGGTTAAGGAGCTTTAAAGCATTCTCAACTCCTACTTCAGGCTCCTCCACATGCACCACCACCCGATGACGCTTAGGTAGCTCACCAACCGGCACCACATACAGAGGAGTTCCCCTGACTTTTAAATCGGAGGAATGGGCCTTAAGCTACTCCGCCGACTCTATGTTGGCGCACACAACCATGAGTGCGCCATCCCTCTTCCAGGAATCAGCAAAAGTGGGGACTTTGTCATTCTCAGACATGCCGAGGATGACAGACCTGACCATTTTTCTGATCTCACCCACCTCATTGGCTCCCATTTTCTTGTCAGGGTAGCCTTCCAGTACGAGGGCCATCCTGACAAGACCTTTTGTCGCCTGTGCATACGACCCTTCATTTTTGGGTCTCTTGCCCTGGCAATTTTCTGAGGGCCTGAGAGTAGCGTGCTCCGGCCTGGCTCACTTTGCCGCGCCACCTGAAGCCCGCCTACTCTCAATTCCACCGTTTGAGCAAGAGGCTGCGGGGGTAGAGAAGACCCTATTGCCCCCACTCTCCCCGGCTTGCATTTGTTTATTATAACGGCGCCTAGCGGCCCCGCTATATCTTATGCGGTATTTTGGGGCTTCTGAGCCCGCTCCCGCACTGCAAGATTCCCCTGGGCGTTTACCTCCAGAGGAGGCTTCGCTCTTGGGGACTGATTTGGGGGTGATTTTATTTTCGTTTTCAGTGTCCATAAATGTTCCCACGAGTATCGTGGTCGCGCGGTCTCACCCAGCCAGAGCCGCAAATGAGTGGGGCTTGGCTCCATACTCCTGAATTTCGCCCGGTATCCAGGAGGCACCGTTTACAACGCAACATCCCTTGCGCCACGCAGCTCTCGGCACGGTCGCTCACACCTTAACTTGGGGAGTTCCTCTTAGTTGGTCGCAGACGGGCCCACCCCTGAGCGGGTGACCACCGCCCGCGACCGTAAGCCCCGCCACCCGCTCCGGCGCGGGAGCCCAAAGCCCCCGAGGACACCGGATGCTCACCTTCTGTGTCCATAGTTGTTCCGTCAGATTACACTTCCATTGTGGCAATATGACCAGACAGATCCGCTAGCACAAGCTGGCGATCAATGCCCGGCCACACCACCACCAGCACACGCTGGGAACAAAATAAACGTTCGGTGTAGTTACTGCGAGGCGGTCAGACCACGTGAACACCGAGCGCCCCGCGAGCCCCGAGCTCCCGCCTCGGAGCTACTACAAGGTGAGAACCCATTTGGAGGGTGTTTTGTTCAATATTGTAATAAATGTTTATATACGTTTTTTAGCGTAAAAAATAATAATAATTAAAATAATTGAAATAATTCTACATGTTATAGTATAAAACAATGTTTCAATAAAAATATAAATAAATAAAAATATATAAAACTTAATACACTAGTTTACAAAACCAATGTTGTGTATTTCCAAAAAGAATATAGATAAAACAGAACAGGT